TTCTTCTTCTTCTTCTTCTTCTTCTTCTTCTTCTTCATCTTCTCCTTTATCCTAGGGTGGAGATATAAATGTCCTTAGGGACCTGGTGAAGCTGGGCATGTTGGGACGCAAGTCGGGCAAGGGCTGTTTCGACTACACCAGCCATGCCAAGCACCGTCACGTGAACTCCGCCCTCTCCGAGGTGCTCACCCAGTACGCCGTGCCGCCCGTCGTGCCGAACAGCCCTCAACGCATCCAGTACCGTCTCTTCTCACGTTTCGTCAACGAGGCTGTGCTGTGTCTGCAGGAGGGAATTCTCGTTAACGGGCCCGTGGAGGGTGACATTGGAGCCGTCTTTGGCCTCGGCTTCCCTCCCTGCCTGGGCGGTGAGTCATCTATAACCTGCTGAATTCAGTTTATTTACCTTTTTGACTAAACTTTCTATTCTCCCGCCCAACTGTCTAACGTTACTTAGTGAGTATAAATGAATATTTAATTGTGTAGGAAGTGATCGAAGAATATTAAATTAAAGAAACTTATATTTGTTTCAATGCACTAAATAAACATAAACTCCCGTTGTTCAGGATAATGATGTCATTTGGGGGAAGTTCAACCTTATATTGGCGGACTTTGACGAAAAAGGTAATTCGACCTTATATTGGCGGAATTTAACGAAAAAGGGAAGGTTGGGTTACTGAAAAATGTAAAAGTAGGTTATTGTTTTAAGTCAAAGGCAAAAGAGGCCTCTAAAGAGAGTCCTGCCATCCTTTTTTAGTTCATAAGATTAGGTGTGCAGCTTTGAACGCCAGTACAAATTTGCTCGGCGTAAGAAATAGATGCGACGCGCGACCGTTTTGTAATTCCGTAGTTATCGCATTCTAAACACCAAAAACAGCCATCCTCAGCATTCTTTCCAGCTCAGGGTTAATCATATCGGTCCGCCTCTTAGGTCGGTAACCACCCCGTTTAGACAGGCATTCCGAGAGATGAGGTCCGCTTCAGGTCCATCTCATCGGAGACGGCGACCTACAGGGAGCGTCCCCAATTTGCTGTGGAGTTTAAAATTCCAAATATAGCCTTAGGAAGCTCCCAGAGGTGTCGGTCATAAAGCATGTCCATAATCGGAAACAAGCGAAAAGGTGGGTTCGAGGCAGCAGTTGAGAAGAAGATGCGTCGTCGTTGTCGTCTTTGGAGCAAGCTGTTTATCTGGCGTTTCGGATTCGCGCTTTTACCCATCAACAGAGATGCTGCTGTATGCACAACGGGTACAATATGTGTAGGACGCAGCTGACACATACCCATCGTAGTTATCATACCGATGGTGCTATTTGATGTGAGGATTATTTGTTCGTCCGCCACAATTTAATCGTCGTTGTTAACTACTGGCGTGATAAACACTTGATAGTTGAAGGCGATGTTCGTCCGAAAGGCTATGCATTCAGCCAAGCCGGAGTCTCTGCGCTGCGAATATAGGGTTGGAGGAGGAGGTAAGTGCGCTTATTGACAAACTAATGGCGTCATTCCACTTCACTGATGCGTCATTTTAGGTCATCTGTGCCCAGGGAAAGCTCCGAATTGACTTTGAGTGTGCAACCTCAACTCAAAGCTGTGTGAGAAAAGGGACTATCAATGGCCTCAGAGACGTTCTTGCCGCCTGGGGGCGCCCGCTATAAGATGTTGTCGGTGCATTTCAATCTTGTGCCATTTCCATATGCATTTGTTGACACACTTTCGTGGATAGCCATTCACTCTGAGCACTGTTTGAGGGTATCACTATTAGGTAGTCTTGTCTTCTGGTTCATTGCAGTAGGTTTTGACACGCCAATATAACGCCCTAAGGCATCTTTGTTTGTAGCTGATAGGGTGGTTTCTGTTGAAGCTCAGCACTTTGTTGTTCTTGTCGCGTTCCAAAACACTTCACTTTTTGGACCATAACAATCTTTGCGGCAGAGGACGACATTAGTGAAAGCTAACTAGTTGTTGTAGTTTCCATCGATCAGGAACGTTTTGATCGCAAAGAAGACGCTTAGATGTTCTCTGAGTATCCGCACCTGATCCCGTTCGATGACTACCAAACTATCGCCCGCATATCGGCTGTGCCAAATGGCTGTGTAATTAGTATAGGAATAATTAACAACGGGGACACAATTGCGACCATTAACAAACCAGATATTGGTGGACAAGGAATCTCACCAATTACCACCGACGAATGCAAGCATAGATGCGGGTTCCGGGGAGCAGTTGAGAAGAGTAAGACACGATCGCTGAAACAAGAAGTTCATTTGCCTGACGTTTCGGATTCATGCTTGAGCGCATCATCAGATACGGGTAGTTCCTACACAAGGCGTTGAAGTACGTAAAGGATACAGTCACTATGCTACCGCACCCATATGACAATTAACGGCTCATCCCCTCATCGGTTGCCAATTACTTCTTGGCCGGTCTTCGAGTCGTTAAGTGCTTAAATTTAATCACCTGCGTTAGACGTTGGCATGATTGTTGCATAGCCATCCGGCTGAGCAACGAAGGTCGCCTACGTGCTCCCTGAATGGTTGGTTGGTAGCCCATGTTGGATCAGGGCTTCCCGCCGGAGTCCAAACT